TGCCTGGTACATTTTAAGTGCTCAAGAAATACCAGTTGCAAATGGAGTCGCAGTAATGGATGCCCTGAAGGTGGGGGTGGCAAGGAAAGCATCATTATCTTTATTTTCAGAAGAGAAAATAGAAGCCAGGCGTAGCTGAGAACTGAGCTCAGTTCACAGAAGACAGAAACAGTCACGCTCAGCCGGAGCAGACGGCACTGGCAGACTAGGGCAGGGTGGTTGTGAGCTCTGGGGGAATGCCAGGCCGTGGTGTCTGAGGTGGAGTGGTCTTGGCAGCCCCTGTGGGCCTTGAAGGCCTCGTACAGGAGGGAGCTGGGGCCTCCACACAGCCTCCGCCTTCCAAAGTGGAGGCTGAAGCTGCAGAGTGCAGGGGTCCCAGCTGCCCAGCATCAGGACAGGAACATCCAAGCCCATGAGCTACTCCCATCTGGAAGGCTGGGGGCCCAATCAACCTTCCTTCAGCTTTTCTGCCCACTGATTAACCAGGAAATGTGTTATTTGTTCTGAGCAGGGGAACAAGCTCTCCTGGGGAGAGGAATTCAGGGCTGGAGGTCCAGTCACTTCCAAGGAAGAAAAATCTCTGGAATTCTGTCGAAAGTCTGGGTCTCAGCAAAGGGAGCAGAAATACAGTCCTTGTTTTTGGTCCTTATTTACCAAATTAGTTCAGGTTCTGGTAGCTCTCTGTCTGCCAGCATTATTCCAACAAGACATGGGAAAGCAATTAGGTTGCCTGGGGTGTCCAGCAGACTGCCATCCCCTCTCGTGGTGCACGTGTCCCGGCAAAACTTTCCCTGCTGGAATCTTTTTATCAACCCCTTGGGACTCTCTCTGCAAGGTTTCCAGAGATGACTTCCCTCCCAGACTCAAGAGATGGGTGAGTAGGCTTAGCAGCATTCTGTGCCTCATTAGGGAAGAAGCTGGGACCAAGAGTAAGGAAGTGACACATGGTGAGTCAGGGGCCATGCTGGAAACAGTTAGCCCCCTTTCTTTTACTGAGCAAGGAGGGTAGAGGGGGACAGAAAGTTCTTAAACTCCATGTCCCCAGGGAATGGAGTTGTGGGCTAGCAGGCAGGGAAGAAGGCTGGGGAATGTGCATTGGGGGTACTGGGGTGGTGACAGCAGCAGAGGTGGTTGGGAAAGGTACCACTTCAGTTGTGAGGAGGGCCACCGAGGCACAAGCCCAGGGGTAAGGGAAGATGGTGGAAAGTTTGGGCTCAGGTGGGAAATGACCAAAGTTTGAATCCTGCATCTACTGCTTAGCAGCTGTGTGATGTTGGGCAAGCCAGTAGCCATTCCCAGCCTCAGTTTCCTCCTTCGTAAATGTGGAAATCATAACAACTCCTTTATTTGCTTAAATGAGCCAATTTATGGAGCATGCTTAGCACAGTGCTTGGACCACAGTAGGCTCCATAAATTTTGGCAGCTTAAAAAAGAAAAACAAATAAAAAATTCAAGTGTTTATGGGATTGGAGATTCCGAAGAGCTGCATCCACGGGTTCCAACAGTTACAGGGAAAGGGAGTGATGGGCATTAGGGGAAGGCAGGACGAGAGGGTGGCACTGGGATGGAGGATTAGGACATGCCAGTCTTAAAAGTGGATTAGCCAGGCTGTGGGCCCCCAGGAGAACAGGGTGAGAATTTCCAAGGACCACTTGTCCTCACCAAGGAGTGGGAGAGGTGCCTAGTGGTGAGGGAAGTGTGTCTGCGTGAGGGTTTTGGCTGAGGTGGAGCAGTGAGAGGCTGAATGGGCGGCAGACTTCCAGAAGTGCAGACGGAGGAGACGGAGCAGTAATAATGACTTGGACACATGGGAGGAAAAAATAGCTCAGGGACGAAGATGATGCCAAGGTTTCTGGCCTTGGGAGGCTCATGGGGATCTGAGGTGAGCATGGAGAGATTCAGTTCTGAAGGAACTGGGCAGGTGCGGGGGAGAGGAAGGGAACCCGGAACTAAAGAGTTGGGTGGATAACGGGGCAAGGAGCAAAGAGTGGGAGCTGAGGCTCTCCATAGCTGTGAAGGAGCAGTGTGTCAGGGAGAGAACCGAGCATTCTGGAAATTGAGATGCCATTTGTCCCAAAACGCAAGGCACAAGATTCAAGAGATCCTTAGGGCCAGCCCTAAAGGCAGCAAGCACATGAACTTGGATCAGTAACGACTATCAGGAACTCAGGGTGCTGGCCCGATGGCGTAGCAGTTAAGTGTGCACCCTCTGCTGCTGGCGGCCCGGGTTCGGATCCCAGGCATGCACCAATGCACCCCTTGCGAGGCCATGCTGTGGCGGCGTCCCATATAAAGTAGAGGAAGATGGGCACAGATGTTAGCCCAGGGCCAATCTTCCTCAGCAAAAAGAGGATTGGCATGGATGTTAGCTCAGGGCTGATCTTCCTCACAAAAGAAAAAAAAAAGAAACTCAGTTTTTCTCTCTTAAAATGGGTCTGATGATACAAGTCCTCTCTACTTGATGGGATTATTCTGCCATTCATTCAGTTAGCCATCCAGTGAACACATATTTCTTGGCTGTCTATTAGAGGCAAGCACTGTTCTCTGTTCTGGGGAAACAGTGATGACAACATACCTAGGCAGACAAGATATCTATTCCTTCATAGCTATCATTGTGGCTTGGGAACCTGGACAATAATGATTTTCTAAGTTGTTGAACAGGATTTTTCCTGTGGTCTTCAAATTTATGCTGAAGCCAAAAAAGCTAGAACAATAGGGACTAAATATTCTCATATTCCAAAGAGAAGTACTAGACACCTTCCTAAAGGCAAAACAAGTTCAACCACTGTTAAGCCACATCCCTCGATTCAAGTCTATAAATGAAAGGGATTGTTGAAAGTCTTGAGTTGAAGAATGTTGCATCAGTAGGCAGGGCTGAGATTTCCCCTGAGGGTACTCCCCAATGCAAACCAAGTGAACGAGGCCCTAAGAAAACCAGTCATAGAGATGGGGGGCCTCCAAGAAGAGGAAACTAGCATGACTCCCCATAACTCTGCCTCCACTGATGCCGGCTGAGTTGCTGGAAGCTGCAAGCACCCCAGTGCCCCAAAGCACAGCAAGAAAGTTCTTGAGAGAACCAACATACGTCTTTAGGAATTGGGGATGTTCATAAATGAAGAGACTTGTGTGCACTTCCTGTCTGGAGAATTCTGACGGTGGAGCCTAGCTGGAGTGACCTCTACACAGCAGGGTGAGGAGGAGCCCACTCACCATTGGTTTGCTGGCATGGATGGGAAAGTTCCATGGGGGCCAGAGTTTACAGGAGTCTGCAAGAGGTTGTCAAGAGGGTGCTTTGATACAGCAGTGCAGGGTGGAGGTCCTGCAGAGCACCTCCCAAGAACCCGCAAATGTGCACATGAAAGAGCCACCTGCCAGCCAAGGGCACCTGTCACACAGCACTTTGCCACTTTTTCTCTCACACCTCTCCCCCAACCCTGATATGGAGGAGCCACAGCAGGAAAGGAAAGTCAGAAAAACAGGCCTCATCCCACTCTCCCCGCTACAAGATCTTGAGCCAGGGGCCAAGCCTTTCGGGGGAGGGGAGGAGTATTAAATTGGATACAAGATTGATTAAATTGGATGAGGTTCTGGTTTGGACAGGACCAGACTTTTTAGTGCCTGAAAATTAGTCTTAATTACAGAAATGAGACTGTTCGTGTGATTGGTAGGGATGGAGAAGCCAAGGACTCCACTTGAGATGTCATTAAGGGTGGGGAAGGGAAATTCACCATAATATGGTTGAAGGCAGAGAGGGGAGAAAATTATAGCTGTTTCTGATAGTCCCTTTTCAGGTTCAGCCCATTCAATAAATAAGTTACACAGGTAAACAAATAAATAAGATAATTTCAACTAGTCAGAGCAACGAATGTAAAGTAGGGTGTTGTGTTAGAAAGTGATGACTTGGGAGACTAGGGGCTCTGGGATGGCCACTCCAGGAGGTGATATTTGAGCTGAGAAGAGAGGTGTTGAGGAGCTAGTCCTGTAGACATCTTGGAGATGAGTGTTCCAGGCAGAGGGAAGTGGGCATTAACTTGGCTTGTTCAAGAGCAGAGAGGAGGCCAGTGCCTCTGCAGTGTGGTGAGTGACCAGCATGAGGTGAGATAGAGAGGGGGCCAGTCACGCAGGGCTTTGTAGGCCAAGATCAGGAGTCGAGGCTATATTCCAACAGTAGCTGTTAACTGTGCCGGTCCTTTGTGTAGTGCCGCAAATTGTAAATGGTGCCCTGCTGCCTGCTCCTCCCCCTGCCTCTCCAGGAAACAGTAGGCGGCAGAAATGAACGCGGGTGGCCATGGTTGCCAGGCTTCTAGGCCTTAGGGCAGGGCACCCTGGGTGTGAAGGATGAGCTGATTGTTGGGGGTACTCAGATGGGTGGCAAGTGGTATTCTTGCACCCCTGCCCTCTCACTGCCGACACAGGAAGATGTGGGCACAGACACCGGATCAGTCGGAGGCTCGTCGAATCACCCTCGGGGAAACTCCGGAGAGAGTGAGGGGCTGGGCTGGGAGTCCAGAGGATGGAGCTCTGAGCCCGAGGCAGGAGGCCAGGATTTTATTCCCTCCTTGGACACACGCTGTCTCCTTGAGTGACCTTATTCCAGATCCTCCATGTCTAGGCCTCTCTGAGAAAGAGGATACCTCTTCCAGGATCTGCCATCACGGCCTCAGGCCTAGACTCGACCCTGACGCAACTGGAAGGGGATTAAGATCAAGGAGCGAAGGCCATTGGCGGCGGCGGGTCTCGCTACAAGCTGTAGGACAGCCAAGGACGGGGTCAGCTCCACTAGAGGGCGCGCGCCCCCAGGTGACCTGCCAGCGGTCCCGCGTCCGGCCGCGGCGGAGGGAGGCGAGCTCCCCGCGGGGGCCCAGAGTAAGCAGGCACCCGGGGCGGGCGCCCCCCGTGGCCGGGGTGGAAAGCGAAGGGGCCGGGCGCCGGTCCCTCGGGTCCTCTCTCTGTCCCACCGTTCTTGGTACCTCTCCTGGCTTCCTTCAAACCTTCGAGGCTGCAGCCTTGGTCATCCAACCGGGAATTTGTCCCTGAGGTTAGGGGCGGGAGATAAATTTGGGACAGGTCAAGAGTCAGAGCAGCTTGCCCAGGATAGGAGGAAGGTGGCTCAGGTGCCCCTGTCCCGGCAGGCGTCATCTCCCCTACCAGCCCTCGGGTCAGCCCTGCGCCGCTCCTAGCTCCTCACGGGTTAACCCCCCTCGCCGCCCGCTCGCTTCCCGGTGCCAAAGTGGGTGTTGCTGGAATTCCTCTCTCCCTCTCCCGTAATGAGGGGGCTGAGCTGTCCCTCCGAGGAGGGGGCATGGTGGGGATAAAAGAGACGAAAAAACAGGGGGAGATTTCCAAAAATAAAACCCTGCGGTTCCCCTTCAGAAGGCTACAGTGACGGGGAGAAGGCGCGAAGGTGCAGCAGCGGTGCGCGCCCACTGGAGACCCAGCGCGGAGACAGACGAGGCGCAGGGCGCGCAGACCCGGGCCGCTCCCGCCGTCCAGCCCTTGCTCCCGGGAGATCCGGGCCCCCAGCCTAACTCCGGGGGCCCCTAGACTAGGAGAAGCGGGCCGCCAGCAGGGGTCCGGAGCGCAGCCCGCCGGCGGCCAGGCGTACCGACTGCAAATCCCGGGGCTGTTACCGCCTGCACCCCTCTCCAGCCGCCTCCGGCGCCATGAGGCCACCGACCACCGCCCGCTGTCCCGGGCGCGCCCTGTGGAACCCCTGGAAGAGCTTCCTGCCGCTCATCTTGGCTCTCTTCGTGGGCATGGGTCATGCTCAGAGGGAGCCGGTGGGAAGACAAGAGCCGGCGGGCAGGGACGCAAATCGGCTGCGGCGCCCCGGGGGCAGCCACCCCGCAGCGGCTGCAGCCAAGGTGTACAGTCTGTTCCGAGAGCAAGACGCGCCCGTCCCGGGCTTGCCGCCCACAGAGCGGGCCCATCTCGGCTGGGGGAGCCCCAGGAGGCCCGCCGAGGCGGAGGCCAGGAGGCCGCCCCGCGCGCAGCAGCCGCGGCGAGTCCAGCCACCTGCGCAGACCCGGAGAAGCAGTCCCCCTGGCCAGCAGCAGCCCACACCCCGGGCCCGCGCCGCCCCGGTTCTCCCGCGCCTCGGGACCCTGCAGCGGCCCAGGGCTGCGCCCCCAACCCCGCCGCGAGGGCGGCTGACGGGGTGAGCACTGGAGAGGGAAGCATGGGGGCTAGGGGAGCGAGGGCCGGGTCTTCCGTGTGCTCATTCGTGGCGGGATGTGCAGGCGAGAGGAGAGGGCACCAGGCTCGTGCCCTTCGTCCCTCTGGCCTCAGTACTGCAGGGAAACAGCACCGAGGCCCCGAAGCCGGGGCTCAGAGATCTGACCCGCTTTCCAAGAGTTGAGGGGAAAGAGAAACACTATCCTCACCCTTTCGAACCCGCTCGCCGAGACCCGACGTTAAATCCTTTCCCAAGGCGGCTCTGCATTCACCCGCCCTCAGCTAACCGGTGCCCGAAGACGCCCGCAGCGCGGTGGGGATCCGAGAGGGAGCCGGAAGGGGGCAGCGGGGTGGGCGTTCCAGGCGCTGGAGGCCCAGCGGAGGTTGAGCGGGCGCAGAGCGCGGGTAGGTGGAGGATGTCGGAAGCTCCCGAGTGCAAAGGCACCTGCATCTCCGGGAAGGGGGCTGGCGGCAAAGCCTGAGCGTGGGACAAGTGTCTAGGTTGGGGCGCAGGTCAGCCTGGGCCCGCGGAGAGCTGGACGTGGAGTGGGCGTGGGCTCCGGGCGCCTTGGGCGGGAAGCCTGTCCCGGATGTAGCTGCGGCACAGTGGGTCGGTGGAGAGTGGGTCTGTGTGTGCACCTGTGCAGCTAGGGGTCAACGTGACTCCCGCGCTCTCGCGACTCCCCCCAACCCTGCAGTTTACTTTTTTGCCCCCTCCTCTGGCACCACCCAGGGCGCCCTCGCAGCGTGGGGAGGCTCACCAGCAACCCCCACCCCAAGTCGAGGATCATCATGGCTGAGGGGCGCTGCCTTGCCTGGGTATGACAAGTGTTTCCAGAATGGAGGGCACTGGAGCCCCCGGCAGTGCGGGGGTGGGGTGGGGGCACCATCGGGGAGGCCGGGAAGGGCTCTGGTAGCCCTTCTTGGCCTGGGCCTGATTAACCAGTTGGGTTTAGTCCCGGTGCTCGGCATGAAGGACACCTGCACCCCCAGCTGTACTCCCGAGGACCATCTGCCTCAGGGCCTTTCCACCTGCCATTCTCCTTGACTGCAGCATTCTTCTCCCCTGTGTCAGCAGGATCCTCTCCTTCATTTTTGTCTCTGCTTTCAGAGGCCTTCTCTGACTACTCCTGCCCACCTTCTCTCCCTTCACCCTGCTTTATGGTTCTTCATAGCACTTATTCCCAGCAGACATACTATATTTCTATTTCTGTTTCTCCGTCTCCCAGCCCACGCTAATGTAAGTTCTATGAAAACAGAGGCTTTGCTTTGTTCATTGCTGTGTTACCAGTGCCTAGAACAGCGCCTGCATGTAGCTGATGCTCGTTAACCATCTGTTGAATGAGTGAAGCCCAGCGTAAAGCAGGGGGAGAGTAAACCTCTGCTCGGCCAAGTGGCTTACACATAGGATTAGTTAAGTATTAATGGAGCACCTGCCATGTGTCAGTTTTTTCTTGTCCTGTCCAAGTGAATACATGCTTCCCAAGAGCAAGAGTGCAGAGCATGGGATAGGGGCTGGGGACTCTGTCTCTTTGCTCAGAGACAAAGGCGTTGTTCCGGCAGGCAGAGCAACTCAGGTGCTTAAAATTGAGTTGGAGAAATGAACAGATATGTACCAGTGAACGTGCTTTCTAGTATCAGCCACTTCGTGTTAAACACAAAGGAACAGGACAGTGGTGGCTGAGGAGCTCCGAGGAGGAGGTTCTAACAGATGGAGCTCCTGGGGCTCGATCGGCAGCTTGTGGGGAAGCAGAGGGGAGGTGGCAGGAGCGGGGTGCAGAAGTGTAGCACTGCCCAAGGGCTTTTCACTGTTGGCACTGGCCTAGGGGCAAGACTGCACCCTGATGTAGGGAAGCCATGGGGGTGAGGCTGGAGGCATAGGTTGGGCCAGACCACGGAGGAGTTTATACGGCAGGCATTTAGGTGGGGGTGGAGGGAAGGTAGGATAGTTGAGGGTAGAGGTAGGAGGGTGCACTATTAGAAGTCGTGAAATGAGGTGGTGATGAGCAAAGCAAATTGTCACCACAGTAAGGCTGGTAGATGTGCACAGGTGTATAAGGACATAGGCTGGGTGCCACCCAGAGGCACCTGCAGTACACAGGTGCACACATCATATCACATGCTGGGTTTGGCTTCTCTGCCAGATTATCTTCCTCAGCTTTGATAAAGGAGGAGTTCCTCTGGCCCTCCAGCCAGCCACTCCAAGTCAGCTGGGGAAGGGCTAAGTGGCAATCTTGTCCTGCATCTTTCTCTACCCAGGTCCGTTCTAGCTAATGGCTTCTGACCAGGCTGACCTCCCTGGCAATTGCCTTGTTGGTTGCTCAGGGCCAAGGACCACGTGCCATCTGCTGGTGAAGCTTGGAATTGCATCTCTACTACAGGGGATTCTTCATTCATTCATTCAACAAATATTTGGAAGGCCTCCCATATGCCAGGCACTGTGCTGGATGGTGGGGATACAGCAGTGGCCAACACAGCCTCTGTCCTCATGGAACTTGTAATGTAGTGGGGATTTATTGCACACCACGGAGATTTATTAAGCATGTGCCAGGCACAATGCTAGGTGTCTGGGATACAGTGTAACCAGAGCAGACACAGTTCCTGCGCTAATGAAATTTACAGCCTACAGGAGACTTTTTAAGCCATTGTTTCCCAATATTCAGTGTTTCTTGAACTAGCCTCACAGCATAACACGTTCGTAATGTTTTCTTCTCTCTTTTCTCTCTGGTTCTATTATTTTTCTTTAAATTTTTACATTTTTAAAATAACAGGAATTTGTGTTTTATCTATTTCAAAGTATTTTATATTATGAAGTTTTGTACAAGGAAAAAAAGGTACTGGAAATAATATAACTAACTCAGCTTTTTCAAACCTTAATATTTTGGCATATTTTGCTTCTGACGTTTTTAGTTGAAATTTCCTCTATAAATTTGTCTCCCTCTCTCCCCAGAGTTAACCACTACCCTGAATTTACTCGTGATTCCAACGTATGTTTTTATACTATTATTACAGATGCATGCATCCGTAAAATACACAATATTGTTTTGCATATTTTAAACTTAGATAAATCATACCATACTGTATTATCCTTCTACAATTTGCTTTCCCTCCTCCCCATTAGATTTTTGAGATTTTACCATGTGAATATAATCAGCCCAAGTTTATTCATTTTAACTGTTGTATATTATGCCATTGTCTGAATATACCACAGTTTATTTATCCATCCTCCTGTTTTTGGACACTTAGATGAGTTACATTTTTTTGCTATTACAAACAGTGCCTGACTTATTTTTCTACATAAATAAATCCATTTTCATGAACACTTCGTATCACTATCATAAGTTGAAAATAATACCACTTGTCATGAAGAGAAAGTACCTGTTGGAAAATTGAAACGAAAACAAAAAGTTCTCAAATTCTACCCAGACACCATTATCTTAGGAAGCTCAGCCCTGTGGCGTGTTCCCTCTGTTGAAAAGGGGGACTGGCAGGTGTTGGGGGAGGACCTGGCATGAAGACTGCCCTCAGACAGAGAATTTTTTCACTGATCTAATCGGGCTAGAAAGAGCACTGACGGGGGATCGCTTTCCACCATGTGACTCAGCGTTGTTGATGCTGTGATTGTGGAAACTCAAACCCCCCTTCCTACTCTCAGTGCTGGTCATCCACTTTTTGGAAAATGCTAGATTACCTGAAACAAAGAAGTATTACATGTATACCACGTGTCAGGCACTGTGTTATACCCTAACGGCACAAAGAGGAATAAGAAAGAACCCTCAAGATAGTCAAGATGAGGCACATACAACCAACAACCTGAGACAATCAGTACTAAATGATCCAGGTGGATGGAGAATGGGGAAGGCTGGGTAGATGTCAGGGGAGGTTTTACACAAAGGAGGTAACATTTGATCTGGGAGCCTTGGAGTAAGCAAAAGATTTCAACTGGCAATGAAGAGAGGGAAGGCATTCTAGGCATAAAGAGCAGCTTAAGCAAAAGCATCAAAATATGACCATATAGCGTGCAACTGGGGGACGACAAACTTTGTATCCTTGGAGGATCACAGCCTTGGTTGTGGAAGGTCATGGAGAGGAGGGAGGAGTGATGGGGGCAATTAGACTGCACAGGCGGGTGAGGTCCTGGTTGGCTTTGTAGAGGCCAATGGAGAGCAGTGGGAGGTTTTTTCTACCAAGGACCAGTATGATCAGATTTGTCCCAGGTGGAGCAGTAGCTGTCCCAGGCTATTAGCCGGATGTGTCCCCAAGGGTTGGGCAATGATTCCGGATATTGGGCTAATGTTTGCTGAGTGGTGTCACCTGGAATGTTGGGCTCATATGATCTCTGAGTGGTGCTTTCCAGGGAGTCAGAACCACTGAGTCGTTTGCCCCAGCTCGTCAGGCTCATTTGCTCTCTCCAGCTGGCCAGAGCCCACTGAACAGTCATCTCCCAGCTGGCCACCTCCCTCGGCCTCTACCCAAGACTCTAATGTTGGCCTAGAAAGGACCCTCAGAGGCCCCCATTGGGTCCCTGAATCCCTCTTGAGTGCCCTCCCAGCCCCTGGCACCCCTGCCTGGAAGCCTTTGATTCTGGCCAGTCCTCACTGTGGCCCTGATGGCCCTGAGGGCTCCACCATGGGTAGGCAGGGCAGGCCCAGCTGCTACCCCCCTACAGTAAGCTGCAAAGCCATCCTGAGGGCATCTGGGTGACAGCTGGCTCAGGGGGCCTCTTGAGCTTGGCTCCACGCTGTGACCTCCCAGCCAGGCGGGCCCCTCAGTCTGTGCTATGTGGGCTCCCAAAGACCCTAGTTCCTAGAAAACTCCCAGGGCATGCAGTCTGTTTCCTCTTGAAGACCTCCCAGACCTCTAAGAGGCCCTGTCACCACCACAATGGGTAATGACTTACAAATGGTGGGTACTTTCCCCCTTCCACCAGGGCACACACAGACCCTGGGTATGAGGACCAGCCCCTTCCCCAGAACCTGGTGACTTGGGCCTTGATGGGAAGGAGGACTTTGTGGACCAAGGAAGCTGCTGAAGGCAGTAGTCCAGAGAGGCTTCCAGGTAGCCGGGATGGCACAGCTCTTGGCCGGGGGGACATTCTGGGAGCTCCCTGGGAGGCAGCTCCCCACAACTTTGGGCCAGAGGGCCAGGAATGGGCCTCAGCTTTTTCAAGCTGCAAGAATTTATTTTGAATGTTTTGGAAGGCTCCAAAAACCACACAAGCTTTGGGGTCCACTCATATGTCAAACAAACTCCTAAGCAGGACCAGATGCTCACCATACTGGCCACAGAGGTCACAGGAATGGCCCCCTGCTCTGTCCTTCACCCTGTCTCTCCGGCTCCGCACCCCTGCCACCCCACTCACCCTGAGTTTCAGTGAGTGCTCGGTAGACAATTTCTGGTGGTAATGAGGGGGTCCACCAAGCCAGAGCCAGGCCCAGCCTGAGCCAAGGAGTCAGGCCCCCAGAGGTCTTCTTCAAGAAGAGCCCTTCTAGGGAAGTCACCCAGGTCCAGGCACTTGGGTCGTTAGATGGAGAGTCAGGGCTGGTGAAACCTGCTGGTGTTGCAGGGGGCCTCACCAGACACCTGAAACAAAGTCTGGGTGCGTCGGGCGAGTGCCTCAACCACCCAGTGCTCGGTCTCACCATGCTCCAGCCTGCTCGAGGGCTCATGCTCCGCCCGATGTGCATTTGCTGGCAAGTGATGCATATGTATGTCCTTAAGACTGTTCTATGTGTGTCTTCCAGCTTCCCTTGGGTTGTCAGCATTTGTTGGGCAAGGACCGTGCTGTGTATTTTTGGTGAGGGGCTATGCAGAGTTGGAGCATGGCTTAAAGTCGCACCAGTTCAAGTTTGATCCTGGCTCTGGCGCTCATTTATTGTTCAGCCTTGGCAAGTGACCAAACCTCTCTGAACTTGCTTTCTGATCATCTTCTTGATCGCTGCCATTGTTGTCCCAGTGGAGTGCCTTCTTTGAGTCTGGTGCTGTATATCCCTATCTCGTCTAATCATCACAACAACCCAGTGAGGCAGGTATTATTATTTCCATTGCACAAATGGAGAGAGAGAGGTTTCCCAAGGTCACGCGGGGAATGGCAGAGTCAGGATTCCATGTTAGATCTGTGGGACCCCAAAGTGCCTCCCCTGGGCCATGCACTCTCCCTAGATAAGGGGGACAGTCTGCCCAGCCTGGCAGGGTTCCACCAGGCCCTGCCTGTAGAGGGGCTCTGGGAATAGTCCCCCTCTGAGCACCCTGGTGCTGACCCTGTTTTGCTGACCCCGCAGGAGGAACGTCTGCGGGGGACAGTGCTGCCCGGGATGGACGACAGCAAACAGTACCAACTACTGTATCAAACGTGAGTGCCTCCGCCTCGTCCACCTCTCTCCCCTCTCTCCCTCCAGGTGGGCTGGGCATGGGGACTCCAGAGCCTGGGGCCGAAGTGTCTTCCCAATCTGCCTCCTGAGGATGCAACCCCTCTCCAGAGCAGAGGCAATGTGCAGTGGAAGGGAGGAGATTTTAAAATGCCTCCAGCTGAAAACAACTTCTCAAACAAAACCCCTGCTCATGTTTTTGAAGCTTCCTGCTTTCTCCTCCTGGCCCACTGTGTTGGTGCCCCCCTTGCCCTGCCCACAGGGTCCCTTAGGTGCCCACACAACCCTGTGGTCTGCAGAACATGCCTGGCCCCAGAGCCTCCCCATGGCACATTTCCAGAGGCACAGTTCACAGTGCATGCTCTGGGAATCCATCTCTGCTCTGGCCTGTCAGGCATCCTACCAGGATGGTCAGGGGAGGCTCTGATCCCGTGTCTGGCGCAGCCTTCTTTTGGATGGCTCTGAAGCCTGACAGCCTGGCCCAGATGAGAGAAAAGAGAGAGTAGTATCCCAATTACGTGGAAACCAAGGAGTGACCGCGCCCCAGCCCCCACTGGTGGTGTCGGAGACAGGAACGACAATGACAAGAGCCAGCAGCTATGTGGCACTCACTTTGTGCAAGTGCACTTTACATATTCTATGGGGCAGGTAGTACCACTATCCCTTTGGTGGATGAGGAAACTGAGGCACAGACTGGTAATTTGCTCAAGATCACATGGCCTGGAAATGGCAGGATTTGAATGCAAGTAACCTGATTCCAGGGTCCCTCTTCTTAATCACTGCACTCTGCTGCCAGATAGCTTACCTTATCTCTCTGGGCCTCATTCTCCACATCTGTGAACTGGGGATGACAGGGTGCTACTGTTACCATAACTGCTACTACCATTACTACTGCTGCCATTACTACCACTACCATTATTGCTACCATCACTACTACCACCACCACCATTACTACTACTATACTACTAGCTAACAGCTGAGGACTTACTATGCACTCAACACTGGCTAAGCTCTTCACACACATTATCTTAGTTAAGCCTCTCAATAATCCTGTAAGGTATTTACTGATCTCCCCACTTACAGATGAGGAAACTGAGGCTCGGGTTGGTTAGGAAACATGGCCAGGGACACACTACCCCAGCGCTGGAGCTGGGCTGGATCCAGGCAGTCTGACTGCAGAACCCCGTACCTCGATCCATGGCCTTTGTTCCCTCCTAAGACCAACGGAGGCTGGGCCTTCTGGAGTGGGGGATCCCCACAGGTGATAACAGATATGTGGGTTTGAGAGAGCCCCTTAGATCTTTCTCCCACACTCCCCAGGACCCCTCTTGAGCCCCTGTCTGCTCCCCAGGTCTGTATGGCTGTCCCAGGAGCTCCACCTAGCTGTCCCTTCTGGAGCTGCCACTACCGTCTGCCAGGCCCTGAGCCAGGCTGCAAAGCCTCAGTCTCCCCAGGACCCCTTCCTGCCCAAGGATGAACCCCCAGGCCCTTTTCAGTGTGAGGGTTTCACAGCTAATGGTCCAGGTGCATGACAAAACCTATGGTGTTCCCAGCCCTGATGGAGGCCTTCATCTGGGTCTGGCACCTCCCGAGCTGGAGATGAGATGGGGACGAGATGGGGATGTGGGCTCACCAAGCTTTTGGTTCTGCCTCGGACCTCATGGCCCTGACCCTTTCCCTGTCTGACGATGAAGCTCAGGCAGGATCTTGGGTCTCTCTAAGGCTCTCCAGATAAAGAAACCCAAACCCCAAACTCAAAAACAAGCAACAAAGCAGATTGTCTGCCTGAAAATTCTTTCCTTTTCAGGGAACCTGGATTAGTGGGGGCTCTCAGAGGACAGGCCCTCTATAGCTGGGGGCAGAGTTGGAGGAGGGACACTGTCCGTCATAATTTTAAGATGAAGATAGTGAGACTTGGGTAACTTGCTCAAGATCACACAGCTCATTAGAGGAGGATCTGGGACTCAAAATCAGCCACTCCCCTGAGCAGACAAGCCAGGGATGTGGGTAGCTGAGTGGTTTTATGCTAACCAGATCTCTGGGGTCGGGGCCTGGGCACTGGTATATTTTTAAAGCACCCTAGGTGATCCTAGCCAGGGCTGAAGACCTCAGAGCCGAGTTTGGGGTCAATTATAGGAAGATCTACCTTGAGGGCCCTAACTCAAATTCAAATGTTCCCAAGAATCCTCTGGGATCTTATTAAAGTGCGGATTCTGATTCAGCAGGTCTGGGGTGGAGCTGAAGGGTCTGTGTTTCTAACAAGCTCCCAGGGGATGCTGCTGGTCCAGGGACCATACTTTGAGTAGCAGGGCCTTGAGGGCCTCTGGAGGCCTAGGAAGGGATTTGGGGTTGGCCATGGGGAGGAAGGTTGGTAAGTTCTAGCAAGCTTAGCAGAGAGTGTTGCTGAGGTTTGAATTGAAGCTGGAGCAGGGAGGTTTCAGAGGGAGTGGGCTTCTCACCAGCTGCCTGAGGGGTCTGGGCATGGGCCTCACTGGCCCTCCAGCCCTGAAGGTTCTCCGTTTCCTAACTTGCTCATGATTTTCCAGCATTAGTCTCTGCCAAACTAGTTTCAACACTGGAAACTGGAGGTTGGGTGAGTCTGCAGATTGTGAAAACCAGTGTGTGTGTGGACCCTCGTGCCCCAGTGGGGGGCTGCTCAGTGTGCTGCCAATACCCACTCCACCTGGGGGTCCTCAGCCCTTCTTATTTCTCTCCCCAGCCCTCTCATCCTGCTGCTCCTCTGGTTGTCTGCCCTGACCCTTAAACACAGGCTGGCAGCTCTCCTGGAGGCATTGCCAGTGGGCGTTAGCCATCCCCACTTGAAATCAGCTTGCCCACTGAAGGTCTGTGTGCTAATTAGCTGGGCCCTGTGCTGTTTTGCTGCTAATGAGCCTAAGGAGAACCACGTGGGTGGTGGGGCGTTGGCCCTGGACGGCTGGGTCCGGAGCTCTGTAGAATGTGGGGCTCTTGGCACCACACCCTGTCAGCTGGCTCTCCTGCTTCCCCTAGTGGTTTGCGTCTCCCTCTCCCCTCCCCACAGCTGCCCTCTTGGCTGCAGCCGGGACTGCCAATGCTGGGGAATGCTCATGACTCTATCCTAGCAGCTTTACACATGTGGGGTGCTTCCGCAGCCAGCAGAAGAGGAGGGCTGACAAGGAGGGGTGTGTGACATCCTCCCGCCCCACCAAGAATGAAGTCTAGTCCCAGAACCATGTGGAGACTCAGTCTGTCCCCTGGTCTCTCCCAGACATCTATGAGTTCAACCACTGTCCATGCACAGGGAGTGATGGCCCTTGCCTGCTGGGCCACCCCCGGCCCCTCTCGCCTCCTCTCACAGAATCCTAGGTTGCTGTAACCTGTCAGCCCATCTCCCTGGCAGGCCCCGTCCTTCATCCCTGGCCAGTCACTGGACCTCAGGAAGCCACTGCATCTACAGGTGGCTGTTGCTGGAATCCCAGCTCCTCCCTCCGCCTTGGCAGGGTCAGGAGCTGGGCCCTCGCCACCTCCTCTGGTCTTGGTAACTGCCTTTCCTTCTGTGGCTTTGCCAACTCTGCCACACGATTTACGTGTTTATGTATTTGTGGAGGCAGCTGACTGGGGCCTGTCTGGCCCGCTCAGCTGAGGGGAAGGACTGCAGGGTGACTGGATCCTGTTTATTGTTAGGGCTTTTAGAAGACTGTCCAGTCTTCCCAGATTGGCTTGCTGCCGTCGCCACCCCAGCACACACAGGCTGTGGGGGCTTCTGAAGGCTCACACTGGGGAAGAGGGTTTGAAGAATTCTTTGAATTCTCGTTTTGTTCCAGCCTAGATGCACAGAGGCTGGGGCTGCTCTGGGGAGGGCAGAGAGAGTCCCTGTAGTTAAGAGCATGTGCTTTGGATTCTGGTGCCAGAACCAAGGAGTCATGGGTTTGTGTCGTCAGGCAAGTGACTGGCCCTCTTCTAGCCATGGAACCTCATCAATAAAATTAGTATAACAATCTATATAGAGTTGTTTTTGAGGATTAGTAATAATGACACTCTGTAGCTCTTACTGTGGTCAGGTATAATTCAAAGGACTTTGTATTATTATTATCATTATTATTATTTTTGAGGAAGATCAGCCCTGAGCTAACATCCGCCAATCTTCCTCTTTTTGCTGAGGAACTGCTAGAGCCAGGAGACCGTGCTGCCTGCCTGGGTTTAAATGTCAGCTCCACCACTTAGTGGCTGTGTGACCGTGGGCAAGATGCTTACGCTCTCTGTGCCTCAGTTTCCTCTTCTGTAAAATGTGACTAATATTAGTCCCTGCCTCACTGAATTGCAAGGAAGAAAAGAGATAACTCAGGTTAAATGTTTAGTTCAAGGCCTGGCGTGTTCTATGTGCTCTATCCATGTTTGGCGTTGATGCTGAGGGAAGGGACTGGGTCTCATGGCTCCCAGCAGGCAGCACAAATGTTCACTGGAGACAAGGTAAAGGGTCAATGAGTATGTACTGACCTATATAGGGCCTGTCCCAGGACTGTGCTGAGAGGTCCCTTTCTGCGGCCCCAGTTCTATCATCTCTTCTGGAAAAATCCCCATGGTACTCAGGAGATCCTGGAGGAGGTCTGGGCATTTGCTGTTGCCCTCTTGGTCCAGAGTCTCTGTGTGCATGGGGCCATTAAAATAGCATTCCTTCTGGTCCACATCTCAGTGCTATGAGGACCCTGTCCCTCTGGATCTGTGCCCCTCCTTGGCTTCCCTGAGGGAGCTTACCTGGCCCCACCCATCCAGGCCCTGTAATGACCCCGTCCCATAGGGCAAGACTGTGGCCAGGTGGGGTCAAACTCCAGACTCCCTGGGGTCAAACCTTTCCTCCATCACTTACTAGCATGGTGATCTCAAGCAAGCGGCTTGACTGCTCTCGGCCTCAGTTTCTCCATATGTTAAGTGGGGATGAGAATAGTACGAATAATAGTTATAAGAATGAAGAGAGGTGATACATGTAAAATAGTTAGCCCAGGGC